GCTTTCTGTACTTTTACTTTTCAAGAGGCCAATGCATCAGTGATATTAACAGCATCCACGCTGGAAAAATCTGCAACACACTTACTTTTCTATATAAACAGCTGTCCATTGGAACATTGCACAGTCCTGAATATGCCTGCAGATAGAACTCGTGTGACAATCTTTCTGTTTTAAGATGTGGGGCTCACACTTAGTAAGATTTAGAGTCCACTGGTTCATAGCCTGGTGTGTACAAAAGCTAGTAGTTTAATAACTGCAGGTGGGTGGGGGGATTTTTGGTAATATGAATTCTGTTGCTCACTGACTCTTGCTCTGAACTTCAAAGCCTCCTGAAATCTCCTAACTAAAAACTGAGCCAAAGCAGTCAGGAGAACTCAGCCCAGAGAGCAGCTGTAAAACAAGGCATGGAGCTTGCAACTCAGATCAACAGTCTTGTTTATCCAACATTGCTTTTTCCCTGTCTGCCTGTCTTGCAAACTTTCCCCTCTGCGAGACTCAGAAATTCTTAAGATGCTGAATTATTACTGCCCCTAAGTTTGATTCACGTGGCCTCATCTGGATATAATTTATTAACAAACTAAAGTGAATCACTGGAAAGACAGTTTAGAGTGCAGTCTATATCCAGATCCTTTACTACAACAGAAATTCAGGTGTTCCCCGAAGAAGGCTGCTATAAAGTTCATTACAGTTTGGCTTTTTGAGCAGAAATGTTTTCTGAGAACGAATGGGTCTTCAGTCGCTATCCCCTGCACTTGTCAACTGAAGATGCATGTAGTGCCCAAGAAGCCCATTTTTGTTGTATTTGGCGATAGTGAGTCATACTTGAGACCAGCCTGAAAGGATTTGTTTGGAATTGGCAGGTCTCTTGAACTTTTTGAGGCTTATATAACACCCTCTGCAAAAAAGGTTCATGAAAGCTTACAATAAAATAGATGCAATATTAAAATGAGGTGGTATATACCCAAACTTCTCAAGCAAGGCCCCAACTTCCCCTGGCTTGCTAAATGCCTGCCTAAGTAGGAAAATCTTGCAGCAACTCTTGTCCAATTCTTGTGGCCCTGAAAGGGGGTGGAGGGTGGAGTTCCACAGCAGAGGAGTTGCTATCAAGAACAACCTCCCCCATGCTCTTGTCTAGTGAAATTGGTACAAAGGTAGTAATAGCAGGAGGATGCCTCTGGCTGACTTTAGGGATTAAGATAGTACATAGTATCATTCCCACAAATTCAAATCGGCCAACAAGAACTCACACTAGTGGCTGGATGTGTTTATTAGCTAAATTAGGAGCCTAATCTTGCCAGGTATAGAGACCTTCTATAAGGTTCTATGTATCCAGCTCCCATTGAAATCAGTGGCTTTAAAGATGTTCAGTACTTTGACCTTTTTGTTGGTGGAAGCTCAGGTACATTTCTTTCCATGACAATTCTGCTCTTATTGACCATAATTCCGTTGTTTTTCCCAAATCGCTTCAAGATTCCCTTGTTGCTCCAGAGATATTACCCAAGAGGCCAGTTCCTTTGAGCATGTCTACATAAGACTGTTAATTAGCCTCCCATTTCTTAGCTTCTTCACCCACCCAATCATCTTCTAGCCTCTGCTGTTGCTTTCAGTGGTACAGATCCATATATTGGAGAAATGCTAGACCCCTTAGTGAAGGGGGCCAGCAGACCTAGATGATATCCCAGTCACTGGAAAGACAAGCAGTCTCCCCAGTTTTGCTTCCAATGGAGCTTCTCTTGTGGTAGCAATAATGCGATGTTTTTAGGTAGTAATCTATTAGGCAATGTCTCGGGGTAAAACTTTTTCAAAAGTAATCAAGTTCCATTTTCAAAAGTGACTTGGGGACCTTGGGCCCAGATTTTTCAGGACGTAGGCATTAAATACGCAGTTACTAAAACTTGAAATCAACAGGTAGTAGCACCTATGTCTTCTTTGAACAGGAGATGGATGCCTGATCCCTTCTAGAAAGGGGTTGGAAGAGACTTCCAGGGTCCTCTGGTTTAACACTTGCATGAATGGAGAAATGCTGCTCCTAAATCATCCCTATCCAATGCTTCTCCAGCCTCCTCTTTGAAAACCTCCAAAGAAGAACATGCCACAACTTTCCTGGGCTGTCTTTTGCCTACTGTTCTAACCATAAGAGTCTTTTTCTGGGTCCTAATCTAAATATACTTTGCTGCAATTTCAATACCACTTGTTTGGTACCTATCAGAGTCTTTAGACACTCCCCTCAAGCCTGTCTCTTTGAAGAACCATGAGGTTTAAACTCCCAGATCCTCAGAAATTTTTAAATACTTCACCCAAGGAAATTGGTGTGAGTAATGTTTTTTTAAAGACCTTTAGCAATCTGGTCTGAAGTGTTGCTTATGTGCATTCTATTCAGGCTGTCCTCATGTCTGATACAAGAGGAAGTGGCAAAAATAGTCAGGAAAAAAAACTCACTTGCAAACCTTGTGAGGCTTATTTATTAACTTTGGTAAAGGTTAGAGACACTCGAGCAAAACGGAAGGGACTAAAATAAAATGAAATAAGCAGAAGGGATAAAGAAAGGAACTGAAAAGTTTGTCAATGTCCATCGCAGAGGGTTCAATAACAGCGTCATGTAATGTCAGAGTGGAAATGCAAGTCATTCTGAGGCTATGGAGGGGGCCAGATATTATGAGACTTTCATGCACAGTACAAATAACAGAACAGGAACTTCGGTGGAAGTGCAGCCATTTAGGAACTGAGGCAACCACTCCTTATCAGCCAACAACTGTTACACTGGATATGAAATTTTTTTCCTCACCTACTGTCTAACCCTACCATGTATGTCATAGGGGAGATTTTAAATTGGATGAATATAATTAATCCTTTGGCAGGTGACCTGCTTACCAGGATGAACTGTTTGCGCCGTGCATGGAGGAATGTCAGGAGACCACTTGACGTGACTGGGCACTCCAGTTAAAGTTCGTCCTTGAGATGGCACCACCAGCTTCCCTTCATTGTCTACAGAAGAGTTATTGAGGGCGAAATGTGCAGGAGTAGCAAAAGGAGGCTTTCAGCCTGATTGAAAGGGCAGGATGGTTCAGGGGTTAAGGTGTAGGTGTCAGGCCTACTTGAGCCTGACTGTAGTTCTCACATCTGCTACAGACTACTTGTATGACATTGGCAAGTTGCTCACCTAGATCCAATAAGGGACTGAGGTACCTAAACCAGGGTTCAGGTGCATTTGGTGCTCTGATGTACAGCACTACAATATGAATCTCCGCTTAGTTGCTGCCTGACTTAGAGGTACTGAATGCCACTGGGCTTCTCTGTTTGGCTTTAAAGTTCTTTGTGTGCCCAGAAATGCCCCAATATGAACAGTTCCAGGTCAGCAACTCAATTGGGAGAAGTAAGATGTGTGTTCCAGTTGCTGTGCCAATGACTATTTAATTGTAAAATACCTGAACAGTCCTGGAAACCAGGTCTCCCCTTTTCAACTGGGTGCTATAATGCTCCCTCTCTGGTCCCACTAATCCTGCTTTCTTTGCTGTACAGTTGCTCAGCCTCGAGAGGAGAGGGAAGTGAGAGGAGATGTGGGTTTGGACCCCTCAGGCTTAGGAAGAAATTAAACCCAGTTTTCCCATTTTGTGAGTGAGTGGTCTAACCACTAGACTGTTCAGAAATGGTTGAGGGGAAGGGCAGTGCTGTCACCACTTCAGAAGGGAGAGCCTTAGACTAACTCCATTCTCTACAAGGATGGATGTAAGGATCTTCTCTCAGGAGAGATGCGGGGCACTGATTCCGGGCTGGATGGAGTCTCATCCTCGCAGCTGTGATTCAGGCAGTATCTTAGCTCTGTAGAGAGGTGGGCTTTAAGATGCTGTCTTTTCTGGAGCATCTCATATTGGCTAGCCCTAGGCAGCTCCTGTTACAATATGTGGACTTCATTTTGAGGCACTGAAGGGGAGGCTACACTGCAGTGGCAGTGTGCCCCAGAAACTATGTTCTGAGCATACCCTGCCTATGCAATCTGGACAGGTTGGAAAAGTAAGCATAACAGGATAGGATGCAGATCAACGAAGATAAATGCAAAGTGCTGCACCTAGGAAGAAGGAATCGCCAGCACACTTACAGGCTGGGGAAGACCTTCTCAGCAAAACAGCAGCAGAATGGGATCTTGGAGTCATAGTTGACTCCAAGGTGAACATGAGTCGTCAATGTGACAAAGTGATCAACAAGGCTAACCGCACTTTATCAACCTTGAGAGGGCTCAGAGGAGGGCCACTCATATGATTAAGGGCTTCCAGGCAAAGCCCTACAAGGAGAGATTGAGGGATTTGGATCTTCAGCCTCCACAAGAGAAGGCTGAGAGGTGATTTTGTGGCTGCCTACAAATTCATCAGGCAGGGGCAGCAAGGAATAGGAGATGCTCTGTTTACTAGGGCACCACTTGGAGTAACTTGGAACAATGGCCACAAACTGACAGACAGCAGACTTATGTTAGACGTCAGGATGAACTTCTTTATGGTAAGGGTTGCTAGAATCTGGAGTGGGCTTCCAAGGGAGGTCATCTATGAATCTATGCACTCCCATCTGTGAGGCTCTGGGAGTGTCCTCGATCACTGTGGCTATGTACACATGAGATGTTGACTGCACAATCATTACTGCATAGTCATTTAGTACTTGTACATACTAAATGAACTTGTATGGACTAAATGACTGCACAGTAACCACAGTTACTGCACAGTAGTGGCACCAAATGGCTTTTATGTGATGCTGACTATGCAGTAGCTCATTACTACTGCACAACAGCATGGCATCACACTTTGTGCCATGCAATACTACTGCGCAGTAGTAATGAGCTACTGCACAGTCAGTGTCTTGTGTAGACATGGCCTGTGTCAGATAACCTTGAGAGGCATATCTTTGAGCCTCGTCGCAGTCCTTGTTTTGGGTTTGGAGCACAACCTACCTAGCTGAGTTTGGAAACGTGCTTGCTGGGACATGACCCAACTCTCTCTCTATGTACTGCACAGGGAGCCCAGGCACCCAATGTGGGGTTTTGGACTGATGTCTGAGGGCCTACAAATTGGGAGCTGCAAGCTTTAACATGTGGGCAGGTAAGTCATTTACTAGATTTCATCCTTAACCTGTTAATGCCTTGATTTTGTATCTAAATATAGCACAGCCCTACTTCACCTGGTGCTGTGGAGATAGTATATTCATGACTAAAGCACTCTGATACTTGCCTGAGATGGTGTCCCTGGGGTATAAGCATGGGGGCTATGCAACCCCAGAGGAAAAACCCTGCAAGTAAAGGTTACTTGCCTCCTTTAGGGCTCCGGATGTCAGACGAGGAACACCGACAAGAGAAGCCCGTGAGGTTTGTAAGCTGTGCCTATACACAGCTGGGGCCGGCAGGTGACGTCGCAGACTATCACTGGCCGGCCAGGATAAAAGCCGATGCCAGCTGAGAGCAGGGGAGAGCGGGAGAGGCAGCGGAGGTTGCGGATGCTCTCCATGTTGGCAGCAGTCAGCGCCGGCAAGGGCAGGGAAGCCCCGATCGGGCAGGGATTCCCAGGTAGTAGCGGCTGCAGGAAAACTCCACACTAGTCACAGGCAACACTGGTGTGAGGAAGAGACCCTGCTCTAGGAAGAGCAGGGAGAAGAACTGGAGATGATTGATACTCTCCACACCAGGCACTAACAGACTGGGTTGTGGGAGAAGGACCAACTTAGAGAAAGAAGTATAAGAAGCTCTCAGCAGGGATAGAGAGCGGAGCAGCCTCGTGGGACACAGACAGGCGCATGCTCTAGGACAGGGCAAGTATAATAGGCAGTCCAGCCTGATCTTTTCTTTTTGTGCCTGCCTTTTTCTTTATGTCCTTTCTTTTCATTTTCCCCCTGACCTGTGTACTCCTTGGTTGTCTTCTGCTTTGTTTTGTTATCTTGTTGTATTTTCTAGGTAACCCTATGTTGAGGGGTCCGAGTAACAGCTGGACGACGGTCCGCTTGCAAGAGTCGACAGGCATCCAGCATTGATCAGGAGACACCTGCAGGAGAGAGGAACATCCAGCAGACCCATAGTCCACTAGGAAAAGGAGAGACCTGATACTAGAGATTGTGTGGCAGATGAGGATCATCAAGACCGGAGGGCCAGCCACATTGAGATCAGGTAGCCTGCCAGAGGCTGGCATGTGGAAGGGGCATAGGGGAGGTGGAGCCCCGTGAACATTCATCAGGAAGAATGACCAACCTTGAGGGATCTTTAACGGGAGACCCCACCACTGAAGAAACACTCAGTCATGGCAGGCGAGTTCTGGGGTCCTCCCCAAGGTGATCGGGGCCCTTGTCATAGGTTGCATGAAGCTTCCCTGCACCTATCATCAGGTGCCCATGCCAAGGCAGCGTGTGGATGGATACTAGAGGCGAGGTGGGCACAGCTGGTATCCAAACAGCTTGTTATTTAGTGGGGGGAAATAAAGGCAAACAGTTCTGGTGACATTCCTAATGGCAGAAACGGGTACTATATACATGATGGGCTCAGTTCATCCTTTGTACAATTTCACTGATTTGTGCAAGATTCTCCCAAGGATGAATTTGGTTTGCTACAACTTAAATTAGGTTATTAATCAGCGGCAAGGCCGCTCTGCAAAACTGAAGCCTTTGATGTCAATGGGGCTACCATTTTGTTTCCAGTTCTTTAGCATATCAATACAGCTGAATAGCAGGCTGCATATTTTATTGATTTCTTGGTCTGTAACAAACTTAGAAACATGCCTTGCTGCAGATGGAAGCATTGTCTGACTGAAATAAATAACACTGTGTGGGTGCTTAAAGCATGTGTGAATGGGTGTGAGCCTTTGCAGGATTAGGGTCCTACATGCTAGTTCAGTTTCTGAGCAATTGGTTTGAGCTGTCTGGACTGTTCAGGTTTCATTTTCCTGGCAGGAATGGTCTTGGCTATTGTTAGACTAAGTAGAATGAATCTTTGCTGAAAACATTGCCCTATTCATAGTTTCATAGTTAGTAGGGTCGGAAGGGACCTAAATAAATCATCAGGTCCGACCCCGTGCCACGGGCAGGAAAGAGTACTGGGGTCAAACAACCCCAGCTAGGTGATTTTATTTAGCCTCCTTTTGAAGACCCCCAAGATAGGAGTGAGAACCACTTCCCTTCCAGATCCTAGCCGCCCTGACTGTGAAGTAGTGCCTCCTGATGCCTAGCCTGAATCTACTCTCCGTCAACTTATGGCCATTGTTTCTTGTTACTCCCGGTAGGGCTTGGGGGAACAGGGACTCTCCCAATGCCTGCTGGTCCCTCTTGGCCAGTTTGTAGACAGCCACCAGATCCCCCTCAGCCTTCTCTTGTGGAGGCTGAACAGGTTCAGGTCCTGTAGCCTTTGATCGTAGGGTCTGCCCTGCTGCCCCCTGATCATGTGGGTGGCCCTCCTCTGGACCCTCTTGATGCTGTCCACATCCCTCCTGAAGTGTGGCGCCGAGAACTGGATGCAGTACTTCAATTGTGGCCTGACCCGTGTCGCATAGAGGGGGAGGATCACCTCCTTAGACCTGCTCATGATGCATCTGTAGATGCATGACAAGGTGCAGTTGGCCTTCCTAACTGCATCCTCACATTGGCAGCCCATGTTCGTTTTGAAATCAATAATGACTCCAAGATCCTTTTCTGCCTCTGTGCTGACGAGAAGGAGTTTCTCAGCCCGTAGGTATGCTGCTGTTTGTTGTATTGATGTTGCTATGCAAGGAAATGGAAATGAAATGAACCCAATATTGGCAGAGCATTACCACTGGGATAGCATCTAGAACAAATAAATCCCTATGCCTTAGTTCTTTCCTATACACATACTCCTGCATTCAAAAAAGTTGGTGCTCTGAAAGCACACGTCTGATACTGAAAGCTGCGCTCTTACTGTATTTTGTCAAGCTACATTTTACCACTCATTGTTTAGTGCAGGGTTGTCAAATATGTGGCCTGCAAGCTGGATGTGGCCTGTGGAGCCATCTGATAGTGTCCATGGGTTGTTGGATCAGTCTCTGCCCTGTGCACAGCATGTGGTGTGTAGGTTGGATCTGGAGCCACGTGCACTGCAGGTGGTGCAGGGGACAGTCTGGGGTGCCACATGCAGCCTGTGCCTTGGACCTCCTGTGCCACATGCAGGACTAGATCCAGCCCCTGAGGTTGGCGTATGTGGTGCACAGGCAAGACCTGGTTCTGTGGGTGCTCTGCAGAGTGTCAATTCCAGTATGGACCACAGACCAACATGAGTATGCTCCGGTGGATGACTTTTACACCCCTGCTTTAGTGCTTGTATATTTTAGCATCTGAAAAACAGGTTTTGCCAGGTACTGGAAAACCTTGTATAGGACTAGTCCCTTTTCCAAAGAGTTTAGAGGCTAAAAGACAAGCCATGGTTCGGTAGAAACAAGTGTGCAGTGAGTAGTAGATGAAACGGGGTAACACTTGTAGGATCTGCATGTTTCTTAACCAGTCAGCAGCTGAGCTGAGACCTGGCTGCATGGCTAGCTGTCATCAGGCTGCATATCTGTGCAGGTTTTATGGCAAGAGTGGTGGCAATTGGCTGTCCAGGATTTGCAGGATTCTTTGACAGGACAGTCTGCTCCACTTCCTGGCAATACCTGCCTGTTGCTTAAAGAGGAATCGACTGAATTCCTTGATGCAAGTGCCGCTTCAGTCATTTTCAGTGGAGCTGCACTCGCTTGTGTTGTGCTTCAACTAGATTCCTTCGGTGTGTCGTGACAGCAGCAAACATGGGCCTAGTTTTTCTATAACATTCACTTTCTTGGGGGTTTCAGGCAGTGGAGATGCTGTCCGTTGCTCAGAGTACACAATGTATCCCTAGTGTGAACAACTGAGGAGTTGCTGACTGGAGGGAAATGCAGAACAAAGCTTGAGTAGCTGCAGACTTGGCTGCCACGGCCTCTCCAATGGCTTCTAGTGCACCTGGGATCGCTACTCCATCATCATCTGTCTCTGAGAAGACATGATCTGTGGGGAAGGTGAGCCCATATCTGGGTTCATTAGAGTAGACTAACCTCTCCACAGTCAGTTAAACAAATCAGAGATTCTCAAAGTTAATGCAGCATTTCATAATACCTAATGTTCTCAAGCAAGAGCAGCCAATCTTGCTTTCTCAGCTTTTAGCAGTCCCGGCAGCATTTCTATAGTGCTTCTCCTCTGAGCCAGATCTAGAAGAGCACTTGAACATTTAATACAGGACCCAGGTGGACTTTAGGCACCTTAGTACAAAGGTGTGTTCCCTAATCCTCCCTTATTTATTGTCTGCTTAACTCTTGTAATACCTAAAACTTGCTGGATGTGATTTCAGATCTGGTCTTGGATATAGATGCGAGGGCACGTGTCTGGGTATGTAGAAGGAGATGACTGCTCCAGGCTTCATTTGCCTGAGGCTGACAAATGCCTCTGTCTCAGAGCCTGCCTCCAACACAAGGAGCAGCTTCAAGATCCTGCCCCACATCTAAGAAGAGCTATACCCCTGGTTCTGGTTATGCCTCATGCTGGGCCCTCTGGAGCTCTCTTAGGTTCCAGACACTTGGTGGAGGGGTGTCTAGTCCCCAGATGGGCTCAGCCTGGTAAGGATGCTCTGAGCATAGGACAGGACTGCATTTTATTTTTAAAATGCAACCAGAGGAGGTGAGGTTTGCTACTATAGGGTTACCGTATTTCCAGTTCCAAAAAAGGACCCTTTTTCGGGGGGTGGGGAGTGATGTGCTAGTGCCCTGCCAGTGCCCATCACTCCCAACTTGCAGCACCCCGTGTCCCTGCTGGTGTCCTGCACTCCAGATCCACAGTCCCTCACTCCCAGGCCATGGCATCCTAACCCTGCTGGTGCCCCTCACTCCCAACCTGCAGCCCCCTGCTCCCCCCAGCCCTGCAGTGTCTCCCAGCTGCCATGCCTCTGCGAGCAAGGGCACTAGCCTGGTCATGCAGCTCCCCGCAGCCACCAAAGGGCCCTCCTACACCCTTCCCCACTGGAGAGGCAGGAACCTCCCCCCTGCCTCTCCTGTGCTGCTGCAGCCCCAGTGCCAGGACAGCTTCCCCCAGTGCCAGCTGGCACCCCATCCCCCCACACACACGCATCCCTTCCACATACCTCTGCCTCACGCTCACCACACAGCCCCCTGGACAGTCCTCAAGCCCTGGCCCTCCAACTCCCGCTCCCCATAGACTTGCCTGCATCCAGCTGATGGGGCTGCTCCCACAACCCTCCCTGGCTGTATGCCAGCCATGTGTGCATGCACAGATGCACATGATGCTCCCTGCCTCCAATCATCCTTCCCCTGCTGCCCCCAGTCCCAAGCAGCTCCTTGCTAGGGCAAGCTAGGAAGTGCCAGGAATAATATTGATTCTGAGCAGAGCAAAATTCCGGATATTTGTTCATATTTTTAAAAACCGCCCAGATGGAGACATGTTCACAAAGAGGACATGTCCAGGAAAACCTGGACATATGGTAACCCCAGCTATTAGTGCTCATTACATAATAAACTACGTTCATATTTTTGTCTAGACTTTATTCTTTTTATAACTTCTCTTCCATAGTGATTGGATGATTTACCTTCTCACTGGAACAATGCCTTTAGTATCATGTTTCCTAGCCTCAGTTAAATTCCAAGATCTTCTTCCTGTCTGCCCTGTTTCCTACAGTACCCAAAAATACCTTGTCCTGAATGTGGTCTTATCTTTTTTCCTGGTTTAATCCAAAAGGCCATTTTCTTTGGAGTAAACAAGATGATTTCCTAAGTCTCGATTGTTGGAGCCC